TATATATATAAAATACAATTCAATTTTATTTTTTAAAAAAATAATTTGTTTTACTATGTCAATTAAATATTAGATTGTTATACGTCTCTTAATTTAAATAATAAAAATATGTATATTAAGCATTGAAGAGGAAAAGTGTGAGTCATATGCGAGAAGAAAAATAAAAAACAAAATTTAAATGAATAGAAATTCATGAAATAATAAGTAATTTAATATAAAAAGACATTAAAAAGAATATTATAGAAAGTACACTATAAATAACTTAATTTTGTCACTTTCAATTTTTAGTAAAAACAAAAAAAAAATCATATTTGCATTGAACATGTAAGTGGGGATCCAATTTAACTTTAACAAGTTTTCTTTTTCTATCATTTTTCTTGCAAAAGTAATGATTTTATTAACAAATAATTTAAAATTCATGTTGAACATATTAAATCCACAAATCAAAAAATAAAATAAAAAATAGAATCACTTGTATTTGTATCTTCTTTGCCAACAATCTTGAAGCCACTATTAGTTCCTCGTTCTTCAAACGTTGATCTTGTGCGTACTAAAGTAAAATAGTTGAAATATGTAAAGTATTATTAAATCTCAAATTATGTGTGAAAAAATTAAGAATATTGATAAAAGAGGAAGAAAATGTAGTACCTTCCATTTATTTTATGAAGATTGTAGAGTGAGATGAGAATTAGACAATAAAGGGTGAGAGGTAAACTAATCAAAGCATGAGGATGTAATATAAAGGGTAAAAGGGAGATGTAATAGATGATAAAATTGTAGAGAAATTGACACAAATAAATTTTTAAATCTTAAATTGTATGTAAAACAAACCGAGAAGAAGAAGAAATAGTACATTATAATTCTAGTGATGATTGCACCAATTCCAATAGTACATTAAGATGTGACGATATCTATGACTATAAGCCTTCATATTTGAAACCTTTTATTTCTTGAATTTCATGTGACATGTTAACAATGATGAAAAGGAATATGAGATAGAAGCATTTTTTTCTAGTCACATGAACCATTCCATCATTTGAAGTTAAGTATTGACTAGATGGATTTGGAGCATAAGGAAAAAATCAGACTTAATCAAGGAAGTACGTATTGACAACAGACAACACCATGGTGTGGAAAGGATACCCTCCCTAGGGCTAGAGTATTACAACGAGAGTATTCTTTTATCCTTAGTCTTTGTTGTAAAAAAAAAAAAACCTATTAAGATGGACATCAAAACCATTGATGCAACTAAGGGTAAGTTTCCTTGGGTGTGCATAGAGATTGATCTTAATCAACCTATGGTAGGAAAATTTTGGTTTAGGAATTTTTGGTTCCACGTGGAGTATAAGGGTTTACATCTACAAGAAATATGGACTTTATGGTCACATAGCAAATAGTTGTAAGTCCAAAGATGAAGGGGAAGAAAAGGAAGCAAGAAAATTGAAGGTTGATTAAGAAGAAAAGAACTCCAAAGATGAAGAACAATCTGTGAGGATGAGTCTCGTTAGCAGCCCTTCAAAATGATAAAGATCCAAGTGGATCCAAAAAAAAGGAGAAGAGGACATGTAAGAGAATTGGATAATCGTCTCAAGACTTAAAAACAATATCAAAAATCTAAAAGAGAAAGCAAGTGTCAAATTAAGATGACAATAAAAGTTGTAAAACTATATATGGTGGGCACAAGTTCCAAACAATGTCAAGAAAAACGAGTTCAAAGAAAGAGACCAACGCTGATGAGTCCAAAGTAAGAGAGGTAGGGAAGGGAACCACCAGAAAGAAAAGAATATGTGAGGAAGAGATAGATAACATGGTCAAAACCTCATGCATGCAAACCTCAAAAAGTACGTCAAATTGGCATGTAGAGGGTAAAATGGATAAGATTGTAGCCATTATTTCCTATAAGGATAAAGAGCAAGGCACCAAAGGGCTCAAAATAGATTGGGAATTAAAACTATAATGCCAATTAAAATTGTGGCACACAACTTTTTGGAGTCTTTGGAGGTTTGAAACCCCCTTATGAAGTGGAACCTATGAACAATGATGATTTGGAGATAGATGGGTAAAATAGCCAAAAT